ATGGTGCAGCTGGCTAACAGCATTCTAGAAAGAATGGTCTCCTGCTTCTCTGTGGTACTCTACTCAGGCTCAGTGAATGGGGTACAATGCAGGAAGCGATTGAAGAGGTATTTAAATCACTGCCTGATTACTACTTACCAAGTTTTATTTATCATGCAATGTGATGCAGATTCACCCAACTTAAAATATATTTTGAGTTACAACCAGCTGCACTTATGACCATCTTTTTCTAATGTTCACTTGCAGATCAGATACAAAGATCAGATTTATAAAGGTCCTGACCATGAAAAGCAGTAATAATGAAAAAATGGTGTCAAAACTGATTAAAGTCAAGGGTTACCTGTACCTAGCTTTATACAAAACACTTTTTGTTACACTATCTCATTTGAGCTTCACAATGCTGTGAGATAAATAGAGCAGATCTTATGGCCATTTTATAAGTAGATAAACTAAGGCTTTGAGAACTGAGTTGATTTTTCCAGATTGCTTGAATAGTAAAGTGACATTAAAGTGGACAATCCAGTTCTTTCTCTTCCTAGAGCAGGAATATTATTCCTTTCCCCCCATTCTATATGATATCCTAGACTGAGAATGGACGTATTTGAAGAATCAGCTGGATTACTTTGGAGCGGAGAGAATACGAGGAATTGGCAGTGGTGGGCTGTTGGTTACCCTCTGCCAGCACAGGAAGCAAGGGCAGAGATTGTCTCTCATCTCCCCATCCTGTGTGGAAAACAGAACCTTAAACAATCCCAGCAGGGGCTGCTAGAATTCTTTGTATCTCCTGGTTTCAGTGTGTTTGTGCGGAGTGAGTTTCATGAATGCCACATGCGATTTTAGAGTTTTATCTATTTCTTGGTTGAATTTACTAAATTGATGAGCATTAAATTTTTTACAAAACCTGTCTGTAAAGCTCAGGCAGCCCATTGTCTACATGCACCTCCTACTCTGCAAAGCCCTTAAATAAAATAAGTCATTTCTTAACAAGAGCTTAGCAGATTTAAGAACACGTCAGTTTTTCTAAAGACATCTTTCGTGGTTAGTATAGAAAGCAATTCTTGCTCCCCTTTAGATAGCACCGAACTCTAAATTGTGTTCTCAAAGGCATCAACTCTGGAACATCAGCCTTCAGCTTTTCAGGGCATGTGGAAGCTGTCTGGAAATATTTCATGGGGGTTGACATGCTTTTAGTACGTTAAACTTCTGCTACACATTTAGTGCAATTTTGCCACCACTCAAAGAAAAACCAGCCTTATCTCAAGTGTAGTCAATAAAAGCAGACAAATCCTGACTACCTTTAGTGGTCTTTCTGGATGGGTCACAGGAGTGACAGGCCAGTGTATACTCGTGCCCCCTAGAGGATGGAAGGAATGAAATTGTGCATACTTATAGAACCCTTGTGGAATTTTGTATAGCTTTTTCCTCTTTTTCTCTATTCACTGTGAACCCTTAGTAATACTTTTGTAAAAGAAATTTGGGAGTGCACCCTTTCCAGAGAAAAACCAGTTAAATGGAAGGGAAAAATAGACTAGAAAGTCATTGTTTTGTCCACTGACACTGACAAAGAGCATCAATAGATGCTGAAACAATTGAGCAAAAGATTTTGGGAAACAGGGTATTTGCATGCTTTGATTTCTTGACTGCTGCTTCAGTGAGCATTGCTTGTATATCCAAGTGAAAAGGAAATCCTTGACAACTTTCATTTTTATCTCCATTTATCATGAGGTTGTGAGGATTTTTGTTTTCCTTATGTCAAAGTACAACTCATTTTGAAAACTAGTGTTTTTGATCTTCATCAGTAAATTATTTGAGTCAACTTTGTTACCTTTAAGCAAGGTTATATTACTTGCATATCACAGGTTATTAATGCATCGTCTCTAATCCTGGTGCTGAGTTCTTCATACAGTCCAGTTTCTCAGATTATTTGCTCTGCATACAGATTGAATTAGTATGGTAAAAGCATACAAGCTAGGCACACGTCTTTCCTGATTTTCAGCCTACAGTATACTCTTGTTATACTCACAAGACTGCCTCTCTTTCTCTCCTTGTGGGGTGAATTGTTATAATTAACTAATTATATATACTTGTGGGTATATATGACTGCAGCAATGGGTTCAAGTATATCAGAGATGGTGAAGATCGCACAGGATAGGACAGGGTTCAGATCTGTTGTTTATAGGGTTGTTATGCATCATACTCATCTCTTTGGCACTTAACAACAACATGTGCATATGTATTATTATTTTGTTGTTGTTGTTGTTATGTCCCATCAAGTTGGATTCAACTTAAACTAGTCTTCCAGCCGGTTTTCAGAGGCAGTAAATTACACGAGAGGAGATTGCCCATCTTTTTCCCACAGATTTGAACTGTATGCCTTTGGGTTAGCATTACAATTCCTTACCATTAAGCCACCAGAGAGCTCCGTGTGTGTGTGTGTGTGTGTGTGTGTGTTACTAGTATAAATAGAATTTTTAAAATTTAATTTTGTTTTTAATTATGTCAAGACTTATACATGGACACAGTAATAAAAGTTCATTAAGGGAAATCTAAGGGAGCTCTGGTGGCCTACTGGCAAGAAGCTATGCTGCAATCCTGAAGGCACGTGGTTCAAGGCCACCACCTGCTCTATGGGAGAAGGATGTGCAGTCTCCTCTCATGCGATGAACAGCCTCTGAAAACCTGTTGGAGGGTCAACTATGGGTTGGTTCCATCTCTACAGTACACAACAACAACAAAGCAAATCTAGGGAGGTCTGATGACCTAGTCGGCAAGGGGTTGAGCTGCCAACTCAAGGGCATGCAGTTCAGATCCACCAGCAGCTCCACAGGAGAAAGCTATCCCCCTGTGCTATTTCTTGCCTCTGAAAACCTACTGGAAAGTCCGCTATGAGTCTGTTCCAGCTTGACAGCACACATCAACAAAACAAGGGAAATCTAACTTCTGTCGCTGTCCTTCCCTGTTCTCTCCCACCCTCTGTACTCAAGTCAAACCCGCTGTCAGTGAGTTGGTCTCAGCTCTTCAAAACACTGCAGAGTAAAATTGCCCCGCAGGATTTCCAAGGTTTATAACCTTTACAGAAGCAAACTGTCACATCGTTCTCTCTTAGAGAAGCTAGTGGGTTCTCATCTCTGATTCCCCCCCCCCTTCTTCTATCACTTCTATTCATTCCATTTTCAGATACATAGCAAGTAATTGAAAAAGCCATGAACTGGATCAGGTGAACCTTGGTCTTCAAACTGACATCTGTGTTATTTAGTGCTTTGGAGAGATCCCTAACAGCAGATCTTCTCATCTCTGAGTTTTGATTAGCAAGGCTAGCAACTGAGTATTTTGACCACTGTGCCACCAGCGCTTATCCCTGTCTGTGAAAACCAAACTCACTGCCGTCAGGTTGATTCCAGCTACTCTAGCGAGCCAGAGTTGGGTTTCCAAGGCTGGAAATCTTCACAGGAGACTGCCACAGTGGAGCCTCTGATGGATTCAAACTGCTGACTTATCAATTAGTTGCCAAAATTTTGTGAACTTTGCCCCCAGGGTGACTCCTTCTCTCGATAAGTAACTATTTTTATAAACTTTGAGATTTAACACATAATTTTTTCACTTTGAACTATAGAAATATATTTGTATTATCTCCATTTTTCACACAAAAGCATACTGTCCACACCTAAAACAACCTAGGGGATCGCTCTCTATCAGAACAAGGAAATGCTCATTACTTTATTATATGGAATATTACATATTTTACTCAATTTATCATCTACTGATGAATATTGGGATTCTTTCCAAACTTGCAATTGCAAAAAAGGCTGGAATGAATTCTGTTATGCATGTTTCATTTTGTATTTTTGTCCAAAGTACATCTTTGGGTTGGATTTCTAGAAGGATGTATTTCTTACCAATGAGTTAAAGGGCAAGTGCAGGATATTACCAAATTCCCCTCTATAAAGGTTTGTACCAATTTACATTCCCATCATCAGTGTATAAGAAACATAGCAGTATTGGGGGTTTTTAATGGCAGAACACAGTGTTCTACAATACTTTTGAAAAGTAAAATAGGCCTGCGGTTGAGGATTATCTCCACCTCATAGCTGTGTGTCCCGAGTTAAATTATTTCCTCTTTCTGAACCTTGGTTTTCTCATTTGTCAACTGAGAGGTAATATTAGCTATTTTATAGTTATTTTGAGAATTAGTTGAGGAAATGTAGGTAAAATGCTCAGCCTAATGTCTGGTGAGTACTATGTATTTAGTAAATATTGACTGAAGAGATTAATGGGGTTTGGCCTGCATTCTGATTTAGCTGTCAGAAGGGACAGGGTATGAACTAATCAACAAATTCCTCAGTAAATACTTTGCAGCTTACCTCTACCACCGAAAACCTTGAAGGATCATCTCTTTCAAGTATTCCTCAAGGCCATGTGATTTTTTTAAGCCATTATTGATAGACAATGGATTTGGAACAATAATCCATGAATATAGTCATTAAGTAGTTTTTCAAATAAAATATTAAAGTAGTAAAGCATACTAGAAATGTTCAGAATTCTTATATGACACACTAGTGATAACTATTTAAGTTCTTGGATAGATTGTTGTTATATGCCTTTGAGTTGGAACTGACACATAGCTGACCCTCTAATGGGTTTTCAGAAGCTGTAAATTGCACAGAAGGAGATTGTCCATCTTTCTCCTGAGGAGCAGCTGGTGGATTTGAATTGTGCACCTTTTCATGAACACCGTACTTCCTTACCTACCAGAGCTCTCTCCAGGGTATGAGACCTTTCCAAAGATGAAAGCTTCTCTAGTCTGTGAATTATATCCTTTCCACGTAGACTGTCTCTTCAGTGGGTTCCTTACTGCTTTCCCCTTCTCCACGAAGTTGTATGTAAAATTCTGTGTGTGCGTATATGTGGGCACGCAGAAAGTGAACCCGTAGTTTTCATTAGATTATCAAAGGATCCATAGTTTAGAAACAATCCTAAATTGTCTTCTTTCTGTTTTGAAGGATGTTGCAGCTCGAGGCTTAGATCTCCCTCAAGTCACATGGATTGTTCAGGTATTTTTTATTTTATTTTATTTTTTTAGGTTGCTAAAGTGTGAGCTCAAGGCAGAAATATATGATCATAAGTAGATGCTTTGGCTTTAAGTAGAATAATTACAATCACCTTTTTGGGTTTTACCCTGGTAACAGGCAGTAACCAGCCTAATCTGCACAATTCTCCTGACATCCTTCCATTCCCTAGCCCACCTAACTGCGCTGCGGCACAACAGCAGAATGTGCAGTCATGTAAGGGAGGTGGCAGGCTCTCGTTTCCAGACTAATGCATGTCACAAGTGAAAGTTTCAACAATCTGAAAATAATGGGAGTTACCCAGGCCCCTGGGAGGCTTCATTGTGTCCAGAAGGAGATGGCTCAGCTGTCCTGAGAGCTGTGTCCCTGTACATTGACCTGCAGGGATCAATTAAGTTCCTGACAGCATCTTACACATACCTCTAGCCTCTAGATGCTTTGCCAGAGGGTACTGGTGTTAACACTTGAGTCTAGTGGTTTTAGTTTTGTTTTTATTTTCGTTAGTCTGCTGAATGGTATTTTTAACGCCCTTCTGTGTGGGGGCCAGAGGACATGTGCCCTGTTTACATGAGTCATGGTTTATTCACATTTTAATGGAACTGCATACCTGTCACTGGGATTTATTGGTTGGTTTAGTTTTTGTTTTTTAAACCTGAAGTGCTCATCACACACTACTATTACTTTAGAACTATTTTTTCTTCCTTCCCACTGGTAAAAGAACAAACTAAAACAAGAAGGAAAGGAGAATTTTAATATATGACAGGCCAGATTCACAATATTGATCATTTAGTCATTTAGAGTGACCTTATATTGTGGCTACTAGTTTAATATACCTTGCTTTCCATATATTATGTCTAGCTTGGCCCTCTGATCTTTGATTCATGTAGCAGCAAAGGCATAAATGAGGGGAGGTGGGTGGGGTGTGTGTGTGTGTGTGTGTGTTTGTATACAATTAGCTCTAATGATGATAAAATTATTGTCATAGATGTCATAAAATATTGTGCATAATTCATTCTGTTGAGTTACAGTGTCTGTCATTTTCCCTGAGTCAGGAATATTCTCCATGGAAGCAGGCATGTCCCTGCCTCTCAGCTGCATTGCAACTCAGCTCACTTGGGATTGAGCGTCACCGCAGCTAGGTGGTGGCCCAGTGGCAGAGATGACCTTCGTAATTGCCGCCTTTATCCTGACATTGTTCATTGTCCTCTTTTGCCTCATTCCCACTGCTTTTGTCTACCAAGAAAGTAGGCCAAGGTCATGTGGTCATCGTAGAAAAATTTAGTCCCACCAGCCTACCGTCCTGGCCCAGTCAACTCAATGAAAAGATGCAGATAGGAAAATGAAGAGACCTGTGGAGAAATAAAATTAAAAAGGAGTTATTGGGACAAGAAGATGTCTCGTTTACCTGAAAATTGGCTACTATTCATGTTTGCATGTCAGAGCCTTGTTATTTCCAATGAAGCCAGAAGTTTCAGGGTTGAGTGACTTCTTCTTGTGATTGTCTTAGGGTAACCATAGCACCAGGATTTAATTCTTGGGATACCTGGAGGCAGGTGAGGGGTATTGCACTTCCAATTAATGGCAATCCCTTGATCTGTGAATGCCTTCATTTTTGTTACCCTTTTTAGTACAACGCTCCATCTTCACCTGCAGAATACATCCACCGGATTGGAAGAACTGCCCGGATTGGCTGCCATGGGAGCAGCCTGCTCATTTTGGCTCCTTCGGAGGCAGAATATGTCAACTCGTTGGCTTCTCACAAAATCAAGTGAGTCAGAAACCTGAACGGGCTTTCGGCTGATCTCACCTAATTAACTTTCTGTCGCTTTTTACAGTGGTTGGGCCTTGTAAGCTGACGAAGAGCCATTAACCCTTGTGATCCCTAAATGAGTCCCAGAATAGCCAGTGGCAAAAACTAAAACCCTTAATGCCATCAGCAAATGACAATTCCCATTGCATTGCCAGGCTGAGTCACAGAACAATCCTTCTTCTTTGAGACAGAGGTCTCTGTTTCATTTTACTCACTTCGTTTACAACCTTCACAGCCAATTTCATGAAGACCTTCTTTATTCATAATTTTTATTCCTTGCAATTAACATTTTATATCTTTAAAGTTGATTTTCCCCTTAAAACATTAATACTACCCACTTTCTCCCTCAGGGAAATAAACCAGAGAAAAAATAATTCAGGGGTGATTGAAATACGTAGTACTTGCAGCCAGTGCTTTCCCGTCATTGTATACACCCAACCAAATAGCACCTCACATTTCCCCCCTGAGCAATGCCCCAAAGTCTAACCTGAGTCAGTTGACTGAACTGAGTGCCACAGGATATACAGAAGCTTAGCCAAATCCTTACAGATACATATCCCCACCACTGTCATTTCAATTCTCTGCACCCCTCCATGAGATTTCTCAGGCTCTAAATCTTTGTGATAGGAGACTACCCAAATGTTCCCCTTAAAGTGGCTGCTGGATTCAAACCACTGACCTTTCATTTAGCAGCACTTCATATAACACACCACACCACCAGAGTTCGTTGTGTCTCACCTAGGAAAGGCAGAGCAAAGCATGAACAACATCTTTTCCTGGCCTGGAGCAGGTTTAATGAAATAAAAGTAATTTGCCTTGACTCCAGAAATGGATTTGCGTTGCCATGTTTTTTCTAAAATCTCTAGCACCCTAAACATGACTTCTAATACTGAACTTCTAAAAATATACAGTTTTCCTAAAATAGAACCTGGAAACATCATTGTAACAGACGTCTGAACTGAAACATCCAATGAGAAGGTAGGAAGGCCTGAAATGGAAGGGCCCACAGGACTGAGTACAGCCCACCACTTGGAGTAGTCGTCTGTGCTAGCCTCCACTTCCACTTGCAGAGCTCGTGTTCTTACTCTCAGAAGACTGCTCAGAATTCTTTCAAGGTTGTTAGTATAGATATCTGGGGACTAAGGTATTCAGAAAATATATGCTGTGTCCTTCCTTGTCCAGGAAGATGCAACATGCTTATGGTAGATCAGATGAAAATTCAAGATGCTAAAAGATGGTTAAATTTCCCTTGTAATTTAATGTGCCTCATCTTACTACAATCTGTCCATTGAAATAGCAGTTTTTATTTGTTTCAGGAAGATAAGCATATTTTCTCTTATTTGTGAGAAAAAGCTCAGGTAGATCAATCAGTCAATCACTGTTCATCAAGAGCTTTATCTCCAGCTGGATTCTGCTTTCCCTGAGGCTGGAGACAACTGACATTTCTGCTTGACATCTTTTCATTGTCTAGGCCGACACCCTATCAGGAAGGTGTGCTCCAGAAATACTAGCAGAATTAAAATGAAAGCCCATTGGCATAGCCCTTTCTCTTGTCTACCTTTATCCTGTTCCCACTGGCTTTAAACCCATCAAAATTCTGTAGCTTTTTCCTCTGTCACAGATTTGTATGTATATAGAAACCATTTTGAGAATTTTGTTTTCTTCCCACAATAGAAAATGTTGTCACTACACCTTGGCAGTCTATCCCTGTACAGCTTCTTTTTCCTCCTCCTCCTGTTCTAGACCTACAAATCCATATCTTCTCAACCCACTGGCATCTCATCATTGGTTAGTTATTGTCATGCTCAGCCACTTTGTTGTTGCTTCTCAGAAAAATGAGAATAATAAGAGTTATGAAGTCAAATGATCATTTTGTAACCCTGAAGTTAACAGAATATTGTCCTATCTTTCTCTGCTTTCTCAATTTTTCTCTCATCAAACTATTTAGATTGATTCCTGTGAAAGACTCAAGTAAAAATTTAAAACTAAACCCACTACCATCAGGTTGGCCAGTGGCAGCTTTCCATCAGGTTTCCAAGCCTTAAGCCCCTCCCTTAGATCTTTAAGGGAGGGGACTGCTCTTGCTTCTCCCAAGGAGCAGTGGTGAAGTTGTCCTTTGAGTTAGCAGTGCGCTGCACTAACACACTGCACTACCACAGCACCTTTAAAATTGAAAAAGGAAAATGATAATTAGCAGAAATACCATTAACAAGCCAAATTTATTTTAAAGATAAATAAAACCATTCCCTATTTTTCTCATATAGAAAAATAGTATGGAAGTATGAAAATCAGCATAATTTTTGTGTTAAAAAGACAGCTAGCTCAGTTGAACCTGGGAAGAAAGTTGAAAAGGATTAAGGTTGGGAAGTACTGAGAAGATTTTGATCTCTTGAGGAGAGAATATAGAGGGTTGTTAAGAGCATTCGTTTAAGGATGTAAAAGATCATGTCCTGTCTTGTTCTTGTTTCTGTCCTGAAAATTTACTGATTGAAGTACTACGTATCTGAGCCACTGACTACTTCACTGCACCAAATGTAAGCAACCTAGAAAATATTAGGATCCTCTACTGAGTTGTATTTCCAAATTTCTATTTGAGGAGGGGCTAATATATAGGATATTTACACATAGACTGTTCCTTTAACTTAATATTGAAAAAATGAAGATAATCAACCTTAGAACTAGTTGTAAGGTACGCAATAGAAAGCATCACACTTGAATGTTTTTGGAATCCAAAAGGTACATTCCTGGTATTTTTTTTTTTTAAAAAAGAAGAGAAAAAAATGTGTATATGTTTTGGGCATAAGAACATGAGAGCCACGCAGCAGGATGCTCGGGTGGCTGATGAATTACCGAGAAGATTCAGAAAGGCAGCTGAGGCTCTCTGCAGCAAGGGCCATCACAACAAATTGCTGCATGCCTTCATATCCTGAGCTGTGTGGAACTAACCCTGACAATTTAATTTAGCAGGCAGGGCAAGAGACAGGTAGCCTGGGCCTCTGCCACCTCTGTTGAAATGCTCAGAACTTTACTTCTACATCTTTTTTACTTCTTTGCATTTGCCAACTTCTTATTTTTTTTAACTTCCCCTTTAAATGTGTTTCTAATGAAAGTCATCATTGGTTTATTAAAATGTAAATGCTTCATCAAAACGTGTATTTCTTAGATCATGCATAAGACAGTTTCCTGAATTTATTTATCTATCTCATTTCATAGTAAGGTGAGAATTCAGAACTGTTGATAGAACCATAAATAATCAGATTTGCTTTGTTTGTCAGAAGAAAAGACTTCTTAGAAATAAGAAGACTTTTAAAACTGGAAATCGCTCCAGTTTACTCTCACCTCCTGTCCATTTCAGATGGCAGGTCTCTCAGCATTCATGTGGACAATGTATGTTCAGTATTTTTGTATCCCTAACTGAGTGGCATAATTTTTTTTCCTTTCGCCCTTTCAAGATTTGATTTCAAGGTCTTCTATTTCATTCACTTTTCCCCTCATTTTCCCCTCCCTAAACAAGAAAATGCCATGAACAGAAGTAAGTATATAAAGAAAGAAATGTGTCTGAGCTATTTCCACCCTCCTTCAGCTTTTCAGGCATAAAGAAGAAGCAAATTTCAATAGCCATAGCATTTCTTTCTTTCGTAAAAAGATTTTCCATGAAGCCATGAGCATTTTCCTTCTGACTCCCTCTTTCAATAGATCCTCTACCTTCTCCAAATGACTCTTAGTGCTGTGAAAAAGATTCCACGTATCCATAGGGCTATGAGCTGGCAGCAGCAATAGAGAATGTTGAGGGGTTTAGGCTGGGGGTGGAGATTCAGGAAAGAGATGACAGATTTCAAGTAAATCGCTGTCAAAGACTTGACATTTTCATTCATAGCTTTGTCAGAATAATCTTTGGGGGAAAGGGGAGAAAGTGTCTTCTCTGAAATAAGAAGTTGCCATTCATGTTTTAATTTGCTGTTACATTTTTAAAATTTTTTTTAAAAAATCATTTATCTTTTTATGATCTGTTTTCTCCTTTCAGAACCCTGTCCCTTTCTCCCTGGGAAGTAGGTTTTCCTCCCTAGTCTCTTAAAATGTGAGTCCAAATCAACATCCCATATTCCAGCACTGTGGCTTCCCAGACAGTTGTGGCATTTATATGGAAGTGGCAGACTTCCCATCTATAGGCAGGGTAGACAGCTTAGTTGTCACTTCTGGTGACTTCTGCCTTAAATACTTGAAAGTAAAGCTACTCAGGTCAGGGGACTTGCTTGAGAGCCATAAGGAATAAGATAGTTTTAGTCCCTTGTAGTGACTACTAACTGATAGGTCAGTAGATTGATTCCACCAGCCACTTAGGGGAGAAAGATGAAGCGGTCTGTTCCCATTAAGTGTTGTTGTTATGTGCCGTCAAGTCGCTTGCGACTCATAGCGACCCTATGTACAAAAGCTCTAAACTCTGCTCTGTCCTGTGCCAATCTCACTGTCTCCAACACACTCATCCTGATTGCCCCAGTCATTGAATCAGTCCTTCCCCTGCTGCGCCTGCTCTCCACCCTCTCAAGCATGATGTCTTTCTCCAAGGACCGATCTCTCTGTACAACATGACCAAAGTATGTAAGACGAAGTCTCAGAATCCTTGCCTCCAAGGAGCAGCCCAGTTTAACCCTTTCCAGGCTGAATCTGTTTGTTTTCTTAGCAGTCCATGGCACCCTCAGCACTCTTCTCCAACACCAAAGCTCAAAAGCATCAGTTCTCCTTCTGTCCTCCCTGGTCATTGTCCAGCTCTCTGATGCATAACAAGTGATTGCAAAGACCATGGCCCGTACCAGATACACCTTAGTCTCCAGAGACACACCGTTGCTCTTGAGTACTTTAGAGAGGTCCCTAACAGCAAACTTTCCCATCGCAATACGTCTTAATTTCCTGGCTGCTGTTGCCAAGAATGTTGATTGTGGAGCCAAGCAGACTAAAGCTGTGAACAATCTCAATCTCTTCACCATCCATCCTGATGCTGCCAATTGGTCCAGTGGTGAGAATCTTTGTCTTCTTGACATTGAGCCTCAATCCATATTGAACACTGCAGTCCTTGACCCTCTGCAGCAAGCGCTTCAGGTCCTCTTCAGTTTCAGCAAGCAGGGTTGTGTCATCTGCATAACACAGATTAGCACCTCAGAAACCAGTGGAGGGTTACCATGAGCCAGAGCAGACTCAAAGGCACTGGGCTTGGTTGGCATTTTAGTCCCATTAGAGAAGGCTTCCATCTCCTTGTCAGTTTCAGTGTGGTGTTTATCCCATCAGTTAAAAAGGAATCATTAGCCATTTTTTTATTTTGAAATATTAAAAAGAAAGGGGCAATCTGATACATATTTTTTTTAATTTTATTAACTTCAATAATCAAGGTAGTACACTAATCAGTAGACCTATTTGTTCACTATGCGAGGCAGCCGCATGAAGTGTAGACTCTCCAGACTTCCCCAACACCTAAAATAATATGTTACCTATAAAGGCAGTTCTAAATAGAACAGATTCATCTGAAGGAAGGAAATTTGCAAGAATATTACCCTATCTCTCCCTGAAATATCATAGAGATTCCCTTCCTTTCAAATTCCTAAAGGTTCAGGAAAATATCTCCCTTTCCTATGAAGTTGTATTGTAGCTCTACTTTATGTTTAACCAGCTTGAGAATAATCCAGTTTTATGCATCAAGATTGGATTGTGTTTTGAAAGAATCAAAGTTTACCTTCATATGCCCTTCCTTTTACAGTATTTCTGAGATTAAGATGGAAGATATTTTGTCTGTTTTGACGAGAGATGATTGTTTCAAAGGAAGGCAATGGGGAAACCAGGTGAGTTTTATTATTTATTATGCTTGCTGCTGACTCCGTGACTTATTTCTTGATTTTGAGTAGTAAAGATTTTTTGTGTGGGGGTTAGTTATTTCTTTTCTCAAGCACAACTTCTATTTTAAAGACGATGAAAATTGGATGAGGATAAGTCTCCATTTTGTGGTGTTTTTTGTTTGTTGGAAGTTTGTTTTTTTTTTCATTTTGCCTTCTCAGTGTGTTTATTGGTCTTACCAGCTAATGGGCTTTAGTCCATTCTGAAATCCAGCCATATAGTAGTAGCCTTCCCAGAAAAGAGATATAGGCCAGAGTTTGGAGGCAGTGTTGTATGTTCAGACCTGTTAGTTCCTGTCCAGATGATCAAAACAGAGGCACACTAGATTTATTCATCCAGGACAGGATGGAAAAAAAAATAAATATCTCTGTATCTTCTTTCAAACATCTTTAACACATCTGGTTTTTTAATATATGTGTGCTGTACACAGAGGAAAAGTAAAGTTGAGATCATTAAAAAGAAAATTTTACTATCTGTGGAATTTTGTATGAACATCCCAAGCAGTTACAGATGACCATGACCATCAATTCCTGCTTATCTTCTGAGACTTCACCCTTGCGAAACAATCATTTTACCCTTCACATACTGTTCAGTATCTTGCATGCCGGAGGTAGGGGCAAGGGCATGTAATGTTGCTAAAAGCATTTTATCTATGAGTTAGTAATTACTTCGATAATTTCCATTAATTTCTTCCACCTGGGGATAGATTAGAAAAATCAGAGCCAAATAGTGAAGCTTAAGGGTTTCTTTTATGCTTTCTTCTGTGTGTCTTTATTTGGATCATTATTCTCTGTGAGGCAAGATTTGGATTGACTAGATTTGTCTGACCCTGTCTTCCATTCTCCTGTTCTAAAGAATGCCTGAGGGAATTTACCGAATAAAAAGAGACAAACTAGGTATAACAACTCTTACATAAGTATGGATTGTGACCCTAGTCTAGTGCTTATATTGTTACATGAATGACCCCATTTGATCGTCATAGCAATTCTATATGGTATATAGTATTGTCTCAACTTATAGATGAGGAGTCTTGAGGCTTATATTAGAGAACTTTCACAGGGACATACGAATAATTAACTTCTTAGAATTTGACATCAGGCCATCTTGTCTTCAAAGTGCATACACTTAAATATCTATTTATCTCCATTCAAAAATACCCCTTTAGCTTATTGCCATTGAGTTGGAACTGACTGATAGCTAACCCTGCAGAGGGATTTTAGAGGCTATAAAAGGAAAATGGAATTAGATTTTTTTTTTTAGATTAAACAATTTCCAATTGGGTAATTGCCCAGATTAGAGATAAAATCTAGACAGTAGCTGGTGCCACAATAAATATCCCCATGAAGAAAAGGCTATTTAAGATAACAGTTGATCAGTAACTTAAGTGATATTTTTTTCTAAAGCATCCTAGTCACACTAGACTTTGGATCATCTGTTAATAACAGTTTGTTGCCAAGAGAAATGAGCATTAACCAAATAGATACTCATTGGTCTTGGCACACTGCTGTTCTTTTGGACTATTTTTATTCTGAATCCTAGAAGATTTAATACTTCTCTGACATACCTTAGATCCTGCTTACTAGGCACAGAGAGTCCTCACTGATATTAATTTGTAGTGTTACAAACTTCTTATTAAATGAGTTGTATTTCCAGAATGTCCCTACAAGATTGTATGATTTAAGGCCAATCATGTACTACTGGAGAGTACATGGAAACTACTTTAGAGGCAACATAGCAGAATAGTTAATAACATGGAACTTAAGATCAAGTTCCTGATCTGCTGTTACGAACTATGTGACTTACAAGAAAGTACTGATCTTTCTAGGTCCAATTTTTTTCATATGTAAAAGGAAGACAATAGTAGTCTTCTCATAAAGAGATTGGTGAATTAAGTAGAAAATAGCCCCAAAGCTCCCAAATACAATGCATGGTACCAAAGACTCTTCTTTTTATTATCAGATAGTCATATAATTTAGTAGCAGATGTGGAATTAGCATCTGGGCTCAGTGACATTAATCTAGTGTATGATGTGCTAAATTGTAATCCGTGAAACATAAGCATCTCCTTTCTCTGTAGAAATGAGAGCAAGCAGTAAAATAAAAAATGTGACTAGTCTAGTGTTTCTTATTACTGTTATAGGAACCAGATTTGGTGTCAATATTTATCCCATGAGCACAGATCGTTTCTGTCTCTGGAGTTGATCTCAGTGTGCATCTGTCCATCCCCCAGGAAACTGTGGAAGGGCATTCAGCTCCTCCTGAAGGACATTTCCCTCTGCTCTTTCAGGAACAAACAGTCGTGGAGGTTTTTGGTTGCTTTGTTTTTTGTTTTTTTCACCTCTGCCCTTCTGTGGCCTTGCAGCATCAGTTCTTCTACTTAAGCCTATCCTTGTCTAGAGGCCAACCTCGAAAACTACCCAGGACTTGTAAGGAGTACTTATAAGATCATGATGAGTAAGAATCATATCCTAGAGTCAGTTGGACATGGGTTTGAATCCTTGCTTCACTAATAGTATCTCTGTGGCTGTGGTCAGTGTCCTCTCTCCAGGCTCAGTTTTCTCATCTATAAAATGAGGAGGACAATAGTATCTATTACCATAGGTTTGAGATTTTCAGTAAAACAAGGCATAGAGTGTTCTCAACTCCTAGCTCCTGATTGGATGCTTAGGAATTAATTGAATGTTTATAGAGTTTTGGGGGAAGGAGTTGGTTTTGGTTTTGGTTTTGTTTTTTTTAGAGGTTTTAAAAAATGCTAAGTTGTTCTCCCACTGAGACTAAAATGCTAGTTACCTCACTGCCTTAGTTAGATCATGTTCTAGATGTCATAAAGAATTGGTTTGTTTTAACTAAATATAACTTTAATTCAAAAGAATATTTAAGTCAGATAAACTATACTATTAATTATCACATGGCTATATAGCTTTTGGAGTATTTAATATGAATGATTCATGTGAATAGTAAAAAGAAGGTGGATCCTAGATGAAGTTTTAATTTCATTTATCCTAGATGTAAGTTCTGATTCCATGTTGTATAAGAAATACAGTGGGTCTTAATTGCCGTACTCAATTTAGGCTGTTTCCACTAGCATGTAGACTAATGCTCGGCAGATAAATTTGAGTTCAGTAGTTAAGCCTTTTGCACATATAGCCAGACACCTCATTATAATGCCTCTGTTCTTCCCCCAGTTCGATTGAAGTCCATTGTAAGTGTCCCTTTGGCACACACATTTTTAGGCTTCTGTGAACAGAAAGAAAGCGAGTGAAGCATCTGTAAAATGTATATTTCATATTTAGGTATATAAAATATATATAGCGACGTCTGGGTATGTGAATGTTCACCCACCTACAAAGAGAATAAATTTGATCTTTCAACTTTACTGGGAAGCACTCAGAAGGTTCTAGAGACCATGGGGGTAAAACTCAGTTTGGCAATAAAATGATTAAAACAAAATCCTTTCGCTTAGTTTAAAATATCTTAGAAGTTGGCCATCTCAAGGCATGTCTTTTTCTGTGAATACTCTCACCCATTGCTGCTACTTCCTAAAACTTCTTTACAGCAGGCGTAGTTTGGCCTAGTTGTCTTAGACTCATCTGTTGCTCCTTGATTAGGTGTGAACCTGTCTTCCTCAAAGTGTCTTAAGTACACTCAAGCACACACTAAAACCTGTTTTTCTTACAACTCTTTTTCCCCCCATTTTTTAAAATAATTTTAATGAGCATTTACAGAGATTTTGGATTTCCATTCATTCATTGCTGCACTTCTCTCCCCGCCCATCCCTGCCCCCCCCAGTTCGCGCCTCTCTTTTAAAAGTAAAAGAAACACTCCTTCCCTGGTACACAATCCCCCCGCACCCCTCCCACCACCCCAAGTACATTCCCCTATGCAGCCTTAATTGTGGACTCTTATGATAACCATAAGACTCTATAACATAGCCTAACAAAAAAATTTTCCTGGCATTGTGAAATACCACGATCAGTAGCCCCTTGCTTAGTCTTTTTTGATTGTCTGTTCTTTCTAAGATCAGTAGGATCTTACAAATAAAAAGCTGTTGCACACTTACAGAATATTAGAAATGTATTTTTCTAAACTGCCTGTAGTCCATTGGTTGCACGTTAGCTTCATTACCAGCACTGCATCTCTCTGTCTTTGAGGGTGGGAAAGCCAGTCCTGCCGGGTATTCATGTGCCCGCAGGGGTTTGACCTGTTCTCATTATGGGAGGATTTTACCTGTCTGGGGCTCGAGATGGTGGTGCATAACTCTGCCCCCCTCTGTCTACAGTTTAAATTTAGACTGTCCTCCCTAGAAGACAACTAAAAAAAAAAACCTCATTCATTCTCAAGAGGGGCAATTGTAAAATAAAGTATTTCTGGAAGTAAGGGTGAAGGAGAAGGAAAAAGTAAGAAATGCTTTTTCCCAAGTACATTATGTTTTCTGCCATTAACTTTTTCTATTTTACTAAAAGTGACCTTACACTTTTAAACATGTGAGCATAGTTTCATCACCTTTTTTCCCCCTATAGATCCACTTATATGCACACGCACATTATATATGTGTGTATATGTAGTTTTTTTTTTTTGCTTGGGAAGAAAAGATGCCTCATTTTGAAACCTAAAGGGGGGAATAAGAAAAGCCCTTTGTAATATATTGCCATATTATCACTAAATCCCCTGACAGTTGTGACACACAGGCAAGTCACCTGTCACTTAAGCTTGAGGTCTCTTTAATTTTCTCCTGGAATTCGCACCAGGCTGTCTTTAATTTGAGGCCTTTATTGGAATTCTGAAACCTCTCTGCCTCCCTGGCTCTCAGATCTATTCTGAGAGCTGTTACAGAATGTATACAATAACCAACAGAGGGATTCGGAGAGGGCTGGAGCTCTGTTTATTTAACACTCTAGAGGGATTTTTGTGCTTATTCGGTCCTGGATGCCCGGCTTTCAATATCGCTTTGACAACCATTCTGCCCTTCTCATTAATTTTAAACAGTTAAAACACAGGAAAAAGAGGAAAAAGTTTTCATTATTAAAGTGCTTTACTTTTTAATAACAGAGGATTCTGTCCGCCAGGGGAAAGGGCATCCTCGCTAATTTCACATTCATATTAAAAAAAAAAAAACCCACTGGGAAGGTGACAGTTGCATTGCTGAGGTGGCTTAACGAAAGGAGGGCACAAGAAAAGTTTGCATTTCACATCAGTTAAGAGGGTAAAAAAAAAATTCTTGTTAATGACAATAGCAAATGTCCACTTTCGTAACACAGCTCCTGAGTGACTTTTCTCTTGACATTTTAGTGGATAAAACCCTTAGGGGGACCATGTACTGTGAAATCAGCTAGGCTGTCATCAACCAAACAGGTAGCAGGAATGATTTGACTAAACTAAAAAACATTTTCAGGTTGTTAAGTCTCTATTAATCCAGAGATGAACATCGATCTAAAAATAAGGCTCTTCTTTTCTCACCTTTGTTCTTCCTCTGGCAGCCTTAAAAGTGAGAGTCTCAGGAGTGTAGGTTAGCTTAGGTGCAGTTAGTCACACAAAGGTGCTTATACCCTGTTCTCTACGAAGGTTAAAGAAGCATGAACTGCATCATGCAATGGTTTTCCCCCAGCACCTCACAGTGGGTAGGGGGATGGGGGATGGGAGGCAGAAGAGGGTGGTCAGTGATTTCAGCATTGCTGCAGAGGGACATGGCCAAATCAGACTGGGAAAGCTATCTTCTTCTGCATCTCACTTTGAATTAAAAATATCTGTGTTTAAGACACAGAAAGCTGCACATCTGTGTTTATCAAGGCTTTGTTCATGATAGCAAGGAGTTGGAAACAACCTAAGTGCCCATCAACAAATGAATGGTTAGAGAAGCTGTGGTATATTCACACAATGGAATACTACACTGCATTGAAAACAAGGAACTCATGCAATATTATTCGAAATGGGTGATCCTGGAGGACATTATGCGGAGTGAAATATCTCAGTCACAAAGGGACAAATACTGCATAGTGCCACTGTTGTAAAACAGGACTGACATCAGGGTCGGGGGAAGACTGAGAAAGATGGGATGAATAACATATACTGCATTGAAATAGATGAGGGAGAAAACTGTTTAGAAGGGATATGTGATTGGGTATTGTTGCCATAGCAGGAGTCCAGAGCAAAGGCTGCATAGTGGAGTGGACCTGGGGGGAGGGTTTATGAAACAATGGGGGAACTTTTCTTTTACTTTTCAAAGAAGGGAGTGTACTGGGGGAGGCGGGGCGGGGGGGGCGGTGGGCAGGGAGAAAAGTACAACAATGAATGAATGGAAATCCAAGGTCTTTGTAAATTTTCACTAAAATTAATTTTAAAAAAATGATTTTAAAAAAGGCATAGAAAGCAAAGCCCACTAGTTTTCAGTGAGAATATAAAGAAAAGAAGACTTTTATCTGTACTATTAAAAATATGAAAAGAAAGTAATTTTTCTTTTTCTTTTATTAACATTTTCCATCTGAGGAGCCCTGGTAGTGCAGGGAGCTATTAGTCGTTAGGAGTTGGGATGCAAAGGCAGGCAGTTCAAATCTACAAGCTGCTCTGCAGGACAAAGAGTTTTACCTCCTGTGTGATTTATAGCCTCTAAAAACCTGCTGGAAGGTCAGCTATGAGTCAATGGCACATAATTGTAGAGCCCTGGTGGTGCAGTGCTTAAACACTCAACTGCTAACCTAAAAGTTGGTCGTTTGAACCTACTAGGTGCTGTGCTGGAGAAAGGGTACTGTTTCCATAAAGATTGTATCCTTGAAAACCCAGTAGGCATTTCTGCTCTGTCCTCAAGGGTCTCTGCTAGCTGGAATCAACTCACCAGCATTGAGTTGTTTTGATTTTCTTTTTATGTGTAGATCTTTCTGTGCATATAGATGTTACTTCTTTCAGAGGGAAGATTACCTTGAGAATGTCCAAGCTGTCTTCTTTGAATGTGGTTTGTTGGACTGGCGCACTCCGGGTTAGGTTCCTGGCACTGAGTTAATTGTAGGCACCCAGTGATTGTAGGTTAAATGAAACAAAATTAATCAGAACCACTGAGATGGCTGTAGGGATGCTGACGGAATTATGGAAGCGTGCTCTAGGATTCACAGAGAAGAGTAAATTTTTAAAGGCTAAAGTTTTAGGCAAATTATTGTTAACCACTCTTAGAAATACATGCCTGTGTACCACAGTTAAGGGTAAGAGAATAGAAAGATTTAGTAAGTAGGGAGAAGATTCATTTGAAAACAGCTTATGTTCAAGGATGTTTTAAATACCTGACTTGAGCTTGGAAAATTCCAAAATCTCTCTAATGGTGCTTTATTTTTAATATGAATGATAAGAGGCCATGAAGAAAACCAAGTCAATAATTAATAAATAAATAAACAGAGTTGATCTGCTTCTTCACACTGCCATCCTCTTGGTTGCTTGACTTTAATGTCTTTATAGCTCTTCTTTCTTCTTTTTTTTTCCCTAGTAATATTGAGAGGATTACCCTTGTTGGCCCCTAGGTGGTTACTGTGTGATTTTACTGTTATTAAATCTATTATAAACTGATTCATTATTCCTGACTCCAACTCTTTCTCTCCTTTAATCCTTCCGTCACCCTCCCAGAAATCCCATGCTGTTGGCCCCCAGGAAATCCGAAAGCAAGCCACAGTCTTACAGACGGTATTTGAAGATTACGTGCACTCCAGTGAAGCGAGGGTCTCCTGGGCAAAGAGAGGTCAGTAGATTTCATAGGTGATTGTATAGAGTGGCTGGCCCTACCTCCACGCACACAGCCCTAAATGAGTGGAGAGGCCGGCCGGGGATCTCTGCTCACCAGCAAAAGCTTTCAATCTCCAAAATTCCACAGGGCTTGGAACCGGGCACAGAAGGCTTTAAAATGATATTAAATGTTAATTTCATCTTTCTCCATGTTTTGCACAAATGAGACTTTATCTTGGCTTACGTCAAGATTGGAGCTTTGACCCAACAACTTGGATCTTAGGGATTCATTTTTCTTTCTTTGAAAACTAGATTTGACATATCAATAGAAATAGTTGTGGAACTAGATATTAGAAGTGATAATAAGGGTGGAAATGCCAGACCTCAACCATTCCTGTTTGGAAAGTACAAAGAAAAATGGGAAAGAACAGTGCTAAAGAAGGGCCACAAAACCATAAATCTGATTTCTAGGACATTTTGCAGGACTGAAGTATTGTTTTAATATCAGAATTTCCATTGAATAAATTAGCTCCTGGGATCAATAAGCATTAAATGTGAACTTTTAACTTTTGAGAATTGAGTGAAGGTGAGAAGTTTATAACATCTTGACTTTTTTTTAGTGGGATGTTCTGTTAACTAGCAACTAACTTACATGCTGTTGGAACGTACTCCGTGTTTGGGGATCCACAATTCTTGTCATTAGTTACTGGCCATTTTGAGAAAAATGCTAAGCTGGCTTACCAATTTTTTATACTTTCTTTTTTTCTTTTTATGAATAGAAACACATTTTTTAAAAAATCACTTCTTCAACAAATATTTATTGCATTGGGCTCTGTTCTAAGTGCTTTGGATACAGCAGACATCAGAATAGATAAAAATCAGTCCTTGAGTTTGTAAAACTAACACTTTAGGGATTTTGGAGGGTACACAGACAGTGAGCACCCTAAATATACATACATACACAAACACACAAACTACACAGTCTACTAAAAGGAGATACAGAATAGGAAACATTATAAAGGGGAAAAGACCATCAAGGTGGTGGTGGGATAGAGTACAGTTTAAACAAATTGGAGTAAGCCTCACTGTTAAGGTAGTGATTGAACAGAAGCCTGAAGAAGGATGAGCCATGTAGTGCTCTGAAAAGGTTATTCCAGTCAGTGGGAACAGCAAGAGCAAAAGAACGCAAGGCAATGGGACCAGTCATAGAGGAGAAGTCACAGGAGGCAGGTTGTATCAGGCTTGGAGGCTGTCACAGGGACTTTGGGTTTTACTCTGTGTGAAATAAGAGCCATTTGAAGGACTTGGAGCAGAGATTTGACATGCTCTGACATGACTTTGAAAAAGTCTCCTGGCTGCTTAGTGGGATTAGATGCTAGGAGTACAGGGATAAAAAGCTAGAAACCCTAAACAGGAGACTGATTAACGGGTTATTGTAGTTATACAGGAAGTAGAATGGTCAAAGCCTTTTAATCAGCAGATATTTTGAGTACCTATTAAGGTGCGCCTGATCCAGGCCATGGTCTTCACAATTAATTACTTGCTGTGCATCAGAGAATTGGACAATGACTAAAGATGACAGAAGAAGAATTGACACCTTTGAGCTGTGGTGCTGGAGAAGAGTATTGAATATACTGTGAGCTTCTAGGAAAACAAAGAGGTCCATCCTGGAAAGGGTGAAATCAGCTGTTTTCTTGAAGGCAAGGATTCTGAAGCTCTGTCTCACATTCTGTGGGCATATTACCAGGAGGGACCAGTCCTTGGAGAGGGACATCACGCTTGGAAGGATGGAGAGATAGTGTAAGAAAGGAAGACCCTGGATGAGATAGATTGACTCAGTGTCTGGGGTATTAGGAGTAGGTGTGTTGGAGACAGTGGGATTGGCTTGAGATTGAGCAGGGTTCAGAGTTGTTTTATGTAGGGTCAGGATGAGTCATGAGCAACTTGACAGCACATTAGTAACACAGTAACATTATATATGTGGCTTTGCTCTGCTAAGTGAAATGCTGATGATTTGGATCTGCTAGCAGCTTTCCAAGAAAAAGATAGGTTGATCTCCTGCGCTATTTGCAGCATTGTAAACCCAACGGAGGAGAGTCAGCTATAAGCCACTTCTGCCTTGATGGCGGTGAGTGAATTATGTGCATGGGGAGTTGCACTGCTAATCCAGAGACTCTAGCTGTTTGAGTCCATCAGCTGTTTTATTGTAAAAAAAAAAAAAAAAAAGAAGGGCATTCTCAATGCAGATTGCTGTGAGTCAGAGCTGTCCCAACGGCAGGAACTTTGAGTTTTGAGTTACATGTTGGCATTTTAGGGAAACAATCTTTATGTGGACATAAAACATAGCCAGATCAGAACTGCACAGGGTCAAAAGATGAGGCCCTTGTTAATTGCCATATCAACTGCTGATATGTCATTAGTGTGCATCCTTCTAGATTTTTTCTTCATAATATCCTTTCCTAGCATTTTCCAAAAGTTAATGCAACACTCTCTAAGGATTTTCCTAAGAAATCCACCTTTAGGCAAATACTGGAATTGTAAGGATTTAATTTTACCTAGATCTACAATCAACAACCATGAAAGCAGCAGTCAAAAAAATTTAAGTGACACACTGGGCAAATCTGCTACTAAAGAAATCTTTAAAGTACGAACCAGTATTTCAAAACTAAGATGTGCCCCACCCAAGCCATGATATTTTAATTTGCTTTATCTGCATATGAACATCAGACAGTGAATCAGAAAGACTGCCAAATTGATGCCTTTGAATTATGTTGGTGAAGACTATTAAATATACTCCAGATGGTCAAGAACAACAAACCTGTCTGTCTAGAAAGATGTAGCCACAGAGTGCTACTGAAAGGCAAGGATGATGAGTTTGTCTCACATACATCAGGCATGTTGTCAAGAGGTACCAGTCCTTGGAAAAAAAAACATCATGTTGTGTAGAGGGTCAATGAAAAAGAGGAAGAGCCTTACCAAGGCAGATTGACACAGTGGTTCCAATAGTGATGGTGGCACTGTATCAGGCAGTGTTTACTTCTGCTCTGCAGTAGGTCGCTGAGTCTGAACTAACTGAGGAGCACCTAACAGCAGTAACTATAGTTTAATACTTAGTGGAAGCAAATTCCACTTGTGTGATATATAACTAGGTGTTAGGCTGCTAAATATCAGGGTTAATGATAAAAAGTGCAATGGAAACAAGCAAGCCTACACCATAATCTTTGATTTTGGTATCTGTCAATGTATTTTGAATATTTTTAAGAGACTGCAACTATTTCAGTTTGACTAGCATCATCAAAGTTGTAATAAGGAATATTAAGGAATGTGATTGTACGTTTTCTCTCATCCATGTACCTTTTGAAATTGTTAATACCAAAAAACAAGCACAGCTGCTTAGCTTCTACTTAAAGAATGTTGGAGTAGAGTCACTCCTTAGCATTTAAGTACCATGTTGTTGTTAGGTGCCATCGAGTTGAGTATGACTCATAGTGACCCTGTGAACAAAAGATCTGAACTCTGTCCTGTCCTGTGCCATCTTCACACTTCCTGACACATTAGAGCCCATTGTGTCAGTCTCCATGTCAGTCCACCTGGTTGAGGGTCTTCCTCTTCTTCATCGACCCTCCACTCTTCTAAGCATCATGTCCCTCTCCAAGGAATAGCCCCTCCTAGTAACATGCCCAAAGTATGTAGATGAAGCTTCGTCATGCTTGCTTCCCAAGAGCACTCCAACCATACCTCCTCCAAGACATATTTGTTCTTTTGCCAGTCCATGGGATGCTCAGTGTTCTTCTCCAACACAATAGTTCAAAGGCATCAATTCTTCAGCCATCGCTATTCATTGTCCAGCTCTCATATGCATACAAGTGATCACAAAGACCATGGCCTGAATCAGACGCACCTTAGTCCTTAAACTGACATCATTACTTCACAATAATTTGGAGAGGTCCCTAACGGCAGATTTTTCCAGTGCAATGTGCCTTCTTATATCCTCACTGCTGGTACCAAGAGTGTTAATTATGGATCCAAGTAAGATGAAGTTCTTGATAGTTCTTCTCTATTCATCATGATAGAGATACTGGTACAGTGACAACAATCTTTGTTTTCTTGACATTGAGATGTAATCTGTATTGAAGGCTGCATTACTTGATCTTCTGCAACAAGTTCATCAGGTCCTCATTTTCAGCAAGCAAGGTTGTGTCATCTGCATAATGCAGGTTATTGATGAGTCTCCCTCCATTCCTGATGCCACAATCCTCTTCAGAATCCAGTTTTTCAAATAATTTGCTCAGCATACAGATTGAAGTGATATGGAGCGAGAATACAATATCACATGCAAGCAAAATACTGCTAAAGATTATTCAAAAATGGATAGAACAGTATATAGATAGGGAATGCCAGAAGTTCAAGTAGAATTTAAAAGAGGACGTGGCACCAGGGATATACCAGAAGAATGCCTGTGCTTCATTGACTATGCCAAGGCATTTGACTGTGTAGATCATAATGAGTTGTGGCTAACATTGAGAAGAATGGGAGTCAAAGAGCACTTAATGGTGTTTGTGCGGTCAATTGTGTTCAACAGCCAGGAGGCTGTTGTATGTTCAGAGCAAGGAAACACTGCATGGTTGATAATTAAGAAGGGAGTGTGTCAGGGTTGTATTTTCTCCATACCTATTCTAAGTATCATGAAGGAAAGAAATATATTATTTCTTTTAATTGCTTATTGATTTCCATATCAGATTGACAATGGATTATGACGTATGGTAGATAAGCCACTTATGGTAGATCTTAGTCCCCATTTCAAATATGAAACTTTCCACTGATTTCTCTACTGTCACTTAGGATTGTGAATTCTGGAGGCTTGGGAGAAATATACATATATTTACTACCGTAAAGGTATTTTATAATCACAACATGGCATCAGACACTATACTCCATAAGTTGATCCTGTCTTTTGCATTTCAATCTGCATATGCAAATTTCCCACTACTGACTTGCTTCTCTTTTATGCCATTTCAGAACCCACCTCATGAATAATTAACAAAGCAGCTGGCTTTTGCCTTTATGGCAGGAAACTAGTTGGAAACTGGGCCAAGTATGCATTTGTTTTCTTTTTACGTCTCCTGACCCAGTCAATGCTAATAACAGCATTTAATCATTGTCATTCTCCAGGAACAGTTACCAGTTTTTCCCCCTCTTATTTCTTATATTTCTTGGCTAGTAATTCAGTTGTTAAAAATAGCTATTATGTAAGTTTGACTTACAGAAATTGGAGAAAATGGAGGCCTTTACCCATAGATTGCCACTTCTCCTGAGATTTTATAATCTCCATCTTCAGGTCTCCCTGAACAAGGGTTCCATGTGTCAGTATGCTTAGAAGAGATATTTCTCCAACTCAGAGAAACTCATACCAGTGATGACAGTATTTTCTCAGTGTGATCAGCAACCAGCAGGATCCTTTGCCAAATGCCTTGTCTTTAAGAGAAGTGTACCAAGCCTTCTCCTTCCCTTGACTTTTGATTAGATTAGTTGTCACTAGCGGTGTATTGTGGAGCTCTGATGGCCTAGTGATAAGAATTTGTGCTGCCAACCCAGAGGTACACTGTTCAAATCCACCACTTGCTGTGAGGGAAGAAGATGGGCAACCTCTACCTATATGATTTACAGCCTCTGAAAACCAACTATGAGTCGTTTCTGACTCAATGGCATGTAACAATGACAGCAGCCTTGGTAAATCAGTGTAAGATTCATTTACCTACTCCATCCAGACCTGTGGTCTTCTGAGAGATAAGGTCAGGTTGGGAGGAAAAATATTACCTTTACCCACCAGTCTGGATTATTGCTCTTTTCAGTCTCTTTAGTTGTAAACATCAAGCATCCATGAGATACTACTGTTTCTGATCCAGACAAGCCTAGGGGCTCATCTGTTTAAACAGAAGAGTCCATAGAGCTGATTTTATAAAAAAGGACAGCATGCGTATGTGGGTATTTAAAAATAGATCTACCTAACTGATCTGCCTGAAACAGTTGGCTAGAAATTAGAGACTACAAAGTGCTGATTCTGATTGGCTGTCGTTTCATCCATCATTCCAAATCAATGTCTCTTCTTGTATCCCCTCTGCTTTCAGCTTACTGGCCTTGTAGCCCCTTGCTCCTTCTGCATATTCTTGACACTTGCCAACATGATCCTCTTCTTGCCTCTTGGAAACTCTCACAAATAGCTTGCTGCTGCCTCTGAAATTTTTGCTTCTTGGAATTATCTAAATACAGGAGTCCTTGCAAGTATATGAGGACAACCCGCCATCGTTGTCCCCAGTGGGACAGGCACCTCGAAGACAAGGAGGTTTCGTCAAAATAAGCAGTGTGAAATGCTGCCTGACCAGTTGTCTAGGGAGAAAACATGTCCTGCCACTTTTGCCCATTCATTATCCCTGTAAAGCTGTTAGTTGGGCACCTAAGTCTCCTGGGACAGAGGATCTCCAGCTTCAGGAGAAGGGGTGAACGTGGCAGAAGCTTACACAAAAGAGTGATATGAAACAAGAAGACCTGTGCCAGGATTTGAATAACAAATTGCAAAAGTAAAAACACTTACGCTTGATTTAGTTTGACTTTATTTGTCTAGATCTTTCAGAACAAAGTGAAAAATGCTGGAAATAGAGGAGACAGAAGAAAAGACAGCTGGGTCACTATAGTTGTAGTTTATGTGTCTCTGAGGACTTGAATATGTTGCTTTGTGTCTTGGAGCGTGTGTCAGAACCCTTCAAACAGTATAGACCATTTGAAGTGTTAAAGTTTTCCTTTGGAAAAAACTAGTCCCCAGTTATTAAAAAGAGGAGTAAGCACAGACTTAAGAGAGGGGTGCAAAGGAGTTGCCTTGGTTATTATTTCTCATCGATTGGGAAAAGGAGTTCACTTTGCTCAGTAAATAGAGCTTTGATGGATTCTCAGGATCCTTCCAGGAGCTGATCTGCTAAAATGACACTTTTTATTACTGTTCATAAACGCCAATCTCAAGGTGCTGCTGGGATATTATGTTTAAGCTGTGGGCAAACTTGCCAGTCCAGTGGCTCAACAAGCGAGGATGGAGGAGGCTAGTGTTTAGTGCCTCCTTCCAACAGAGAGTGCAGAATGGGCTGGGGCCTGGCTGGCAGGAGGGGCAGGGCCGGGAAGTAGAGGGAGCAGTGATGGGCCTAGGTATCTGGGTTTCAAAACATTCCCTGCTGCTCTGCTGCAGTAAGAAAAGGCAGGCATGTAATTTTCACTGTTTTTTAAAGACATTTAAAGAGATACTAGATAGAGAATAATCTTTTCTCAAGAATGCCATGGTACAGTGTAGGTAAAACTGCACCTTCTTGGGAACAGATTTCTCTCTGGCCCCTGAGGCAATCTAGAGCAAGGATACTCTTTTCTTGGTTTTAAAATGAGACCGTGTTAAATAATATAATTTCCATGATAGAATTTTAGATGAATATCTCTATAAACGTTTGGCCATCTTGGAATGAACCTTTTCATGGACTATTTTAGATATTTAATAATATTCCCTTTTTTAAAAAATAAAAGTTTGTGGTGTTCCTTTTTTACACCTTTTTTGAATAGGTGAGAAGCACTTTACTGCCTAGTTCTGATTACCTTCAGAAGATATTTGTTTTTCGAATCCATGAATACTCTGGAGAGGGAAGTATAGAAGCAGAGATTGTGGTAGAGGCGACATTTACAGTAATATGTTTCATTTATGGTAAATGTATTATCATTTCATTCATAAAAAGCCCTTTTGAGTTATTTGTGTTTTGTAACATTGACATGTGTTAATTGTTAAAAAAAAGGTTTTAATTAGGAAGAAAAGTGTTTCTGACGAAGAGATCTAATGTATTACTAACTTTTGTAAGAAAGTTACTAGCTTTTTGACATCCTTAAATTGATTTATGTGGCAGACATTTATCCATTGCCTGCTGTATGCTAGGCTCCAAGACAGTAATGAAGAACCAAATAAGAGGCCATTCTCCTTTGGTGATTACAAGCTATGCTATAAAATCTGAAATGTAACTAGATTTATTGTAAATAGTCTTTAGAAAGAAAAAAAAACTGTATGTAATCTCGATTTATAAGTTTCTTTGGTTGTTGATATACAGATTTAAATTGTCCGTAGATGTAGTAACTGTCCTGGTTTGGGCTCTAAGCATCACCTGGTGAAATGAATTGCAGAGGTGAATTGTTCAGCTGAGGCAGGAGTGAGCTTCTAGACCTGAGCTCTTGTCTTGTTTTCTGTTAGCTCTGCAGTCCTTCATCCGAGCCTACGCCACCTACCCTAAGGATCTGAAGCACATCTTCCACGTCCGGTGCCTCCACCTCGGACATGTGGCCAAGAGCTTTGGGCTGAGAGATGCCCCCACAAACCTTAGTTTCTCAACTCTAAAGAAGAGGAAAGCACATCTGAGAAGGTAAAATGAGCAGAATCGTCCTGTAACAAGTGACTGAAGTGATAAATGTAGAGAGCTCTGTTCAGATTGGTGACAGAGAGAGAAGGTCACCAGCACACTCGATGGAGACACGTCCATCTTTGGGTTTTATGAGGAATTGTCATCAATATCTGCCCTTCTCTCCATTTATAATGTTTGGAACAAGAGGGGGGGGGGGAAATTACCTATTTTAAGGTTTCTACAAAAATTCAGCAATATTTCCTGTCAGGCGTAGTAGGATTATTGGAACAAAGGTAAGTTACAGGTGTTGCAGTAGAGTCATTAGGGGGCTTAATTACAGTTGGGGCTTCAAACATACTATAATCACCAAGCAAAGTATTTAAGATTTGTATAAAGGTTTCCAGTGTGTTTCATGAAATTAGCCCCTGAGACAGACAGGAATGCTTTAGTATCTTGCCAAAATCTGAAGATTTTCAGGAGCTGGTACAACTAGAGAGCTTCAGCTGGAAAGTTCCAGGGAGTTTATGTTAGGCTCTGGATATCACAGTTGTTAAGCACTCAGCTGATAACCAAAAGATCAGTGGTTCAAAGCACCAACAATTCTTCAGGCAGAAAGCCCTGGCAATCCGTGCCCATTAACATCACAGCCTACAGGCAGAAAGCCATGGTGGTCGTGCCCATTAACATTGTCTAGGACACCCTGTGGGACATTTCTGCTTGTCATACAGAGTTGTTAGGAGTTGTGATTGAATCTACAACCACTATAGTAACCCTGTCACCCACAGTGTCACTTCCCATGGTGATGACAGTGTTCCAGGCCTGACGACTTATCCCTTCCAAAGAAAAAGTTATTGAAAGTACCTAGTGGTTTTTTTATTGTTTACTGCCATTGAGTTAGCCTTAACTCATGCCAACTCCATATACAAGTAGATCAGACCACTGTGATTTCTAGGAATTTTAGTAGCTGATTTTTGGAAGTAAGTTGCCAGGGCTTTTTCTTCCTAGTGTGTCTAATCTCCTTTGGAACTTGTTATGTATCATAGCACCAGGCACTTAGGTGGTGGGTGTGCTTGAGATTCTTTGACCAGACATCAGACCTTGGTCTCCCACCTGGAAGGTAAGAATTCTACCTCTGAGACCACCACCTCCTTGACCAGAAGTCCTAGTGAGACTTCTGGACATCAGAATGAAAACCGTTGCCTTGTTAGTTGGAGGATGATGAGCCCAGGAAGTCATGACATATTTCCCTGAGCAAAATGTATTTGCAAAAGGTCTTTTTTTTCTGTATGAAAACAAGATATTCTTTTGCTATTAGGATCCAGAACCTCCTTGGAGCAGAGGACTAGATCGAGTACAGTAGACACAGTGAGCCAGTTGTTCTTGTGGAGGAAGTTTGGGATGGATTACCAATATCATTAAGGCAGCCTTTGTGTAGGAAGGATACAGTGAATAAATATTTGAAGACACAGACTTTTTATTTCACTAACCTGAGTTTTATTATGGATTCCTTCGCTGTTCTGGACAACTGTTTCACATTGTTGTACTGTCGTCTCATTCATAGTAGATTCCACAGTATACATGTCCTGACTCTGAGTATCTCCAGGCAGGAGTATACTTTCCTCCATGTCCCAGCACAATATCTGTGTTGCTTATTCAACAAGAAGTATTAATTACTGTGTCACCATATCAGAACTCAGCATCTCTGATGTGACATGGAAAAGGGATTACTACTTGTAGGAAGTGACCTACTCGTAGGAAAGCACCACTTATAGGAAATGGTCTTAGAATTAGAGAACTTGAGCTCCAGCTCCATTCTGGTTTGGTTTTTCTACTATAGCATTTTGTCAAATATAAAGAAAAAGGTGGGGGAAATCCATCTTTTAGCTGTTTTGTGACATCCATCTTTTAGCTGTTTTGGATTGTTTGGAGATAGATGGTAGTTATATGAAACTGCCTATCCCTTTTGAACCACAGAGGACCAGACAGATGAAGTTCTTTAGGATACAGAACTGGACACTAGGTTAATAAGATTCAGGCACATCCAGCTTGGTTTGCCTTGGAATTACTATGTAGATGCCTCTTTCTAATGCCTAAAATTTTGTTTAATTCAAATTCCACTTTTGGCAGATTTATAAGTGCTTGATTTTTTTTTCCCTCCTTTGTATTGATAGCTCACATGACAATAACCTGATAAATCTGTGAGACTCACAGGTAACAACTACTTCATATACAGCTGTCACAGAAGCAGAATGAGTATGTGGCATTCAGCTCTAGTGTTTCCCAGGCAAGTCTGAGGTCCAGAGGTGCAGAGCAGAGCCCTCCCTCCTGCTGCATACCGCTGTCCCGGGCAGAGCTTCAGGTTCTCTGCCCCTCGCTGGAGCCAGGTTCCTCTCCTGGAAGGTGAAAACTCCCCAGATCTACTCCCAGATACGTGTGGTCATGCCAGGAAGGCTGTTGTCACCAGAGTCAATTTCCTGTCTCTGTAGCTATTATCTGCATGCTCATTTTGATTCTCATTATGTAATGAAACCATAAGGCTTCAGAGTCTGCCTTTGAAAGTGACCTTGTAATCTGGAAACCTGACCATCATTTCATCACTTTTAAGAAGGTAAGAGTAGAACATCCAAATGATTCCTGTTAAGAAATATATAGCTTTTATGGCTCTTTCCTGACAAAATACAATCTCAATATTTTATTGTTAACAGATGATCCACCTCTATGACTGGGAATTTCATTAGCAAGTGTTAATCCAGATAGCAGCTCCTCAGCCTGGGATGTCTTCAGCTCTTACCCAGATCCTGGAAAGCAAAGCAGGGAGACAGCGAGGCAGTTGGGAGGGGGATTGGAGACAGCATTGTCCTTACCTTGAGAAGCCACTAGGGAGAGAGCAGTCCGCCGCCTCCTGCTTCAGCTGACCCTCACGAGCAGATGGGCACCAGGACTACTATACCCCTGTGAGCAGGGGATTTAACAGGGCTTTATTTAGGGAAGAATGGGCTGATTAGCCGATAAAGAGCATGTAAGATGGTATGGGGCAGCCTTTGATGTCTGGCTGGCGCAGCAGGGAGCCGGGTGGTGAGTGACAGCAGTGTGTCACAGGATTACTCTGCTAGTGACAATGCCGCTCTCTGTTCTTGCCATGTCACCACTCTGGTACAGCTACTTTTTCCGTTGTTATGCCCTTCTTTTGAAGGCATTTCTCTCGCACGCCTTACATCCTCCCACCCCACCCCTGCCTGTGTAATGCAGACGGGCACTCAAGGATACAGTAGGTACCTTTTCTTCATTTGGGGACATCTTGTCACTCCTGAAGGAAGAATGACTTTGCAGCTAATCTGCACATGGACCGTATAATTGTGGTCAGGGTTAGCGACAGAGAGAACTTGACAGATTTTCCACACCTCAGTCAGGGCTCAAGCAAACGCCAGTTGCTGCTTTTTGAGGACTGAGAAGAAAGTCCATTAAACCCCACAAAGTGTGGAGAGTTATGCTTTGGCCACAATAACTGTTTCGAACTGAAATATCTCCTCTGAAATCCATCTGTCAAGGAGGAAAATGGACCCTTATGTTTTATAAGGGTGAATAAAATAATAGCACTAAATTCTCTAGACTACTCGGCATTCCATTTTATGTTGTTTACTGCCAGGAATAATTATATATTTTGAACAACGCTCTGATGGTTACAAACCAGATCCATCAGATTGTAAATGAAATCTTTCCTTTAATCACCTGTCATCCACAAAACAAGGCTACCAAACCGGGTGTAAAAATATGAATCAAGGGCAGGTTAGGTTAGGAGACTATTAGACATTTCCATGCAGTGACAAAGGGAATCTTTATCTTAACATGCCTCTCTTCCTTTATGCGGCCATTTTTCAGAAAAGAGAAAATAAATAATTAATATCCACAAATGAGAGCTTAATAACCAGGTCTCTCTCTACCTTTTCAGTCTTCAGTTCTGAAAGGAAACACTAAATGTCTTCCCCCTGCACACAGAAATACAGTCATCGTCACAAAAACTCTGCTGACATCTACACAGAAACCTGTCAGACAAGTCTCTGCACTGCTCGTCCCCTCCACCCAAACACCTACATATACATGTACACAGATAGTTGGTGATATTGGTAAAATATTGAATGGCCCCTTAGCAACATCCATCACAAAAAAAGGCATTTTCTTCCATGAAATGCAGTTTGTATTGTGAAGCCATGTAGACCCAGCAGTTCCTGAGAAGCAAAGGTAACATACCTCCCAGGCTCCTGCACCTTTTTCAGGAGACATGGAGACCAGGGACTGTCAGCTATCAGAGGGCAATGCTGTGTGGTTTGCAAGGTGTCTGGCTACATGGTGCCAGTGAGGGGTGGAGTGTGTCCAGGAGCAGCGAGAGGTATGCCATTAAGGGCCACAGTTCTCTTAATCTGTTTGACCCAATGAAAAACAGTTGAAGACTAGAGTAACAAATGTGCTCTAAAATCTTGGTGTCGTGATGATATTAAAGAGCAAGTCTGCTGCCAGGGATGCATCCTGTCTCCATACCTTTTCAATCTATATGCAGAGGAGATCATCTGGGAGGCAGGGTTCTGTGAGGAGGAATGTGGCATCAGGATTAGAGGAAGACTCATCAACAACCTGCATTATGTAGATGATGCAACCTTGCTTGCTGAGGACCAGAGGCATTTGCTGCAGAAAGCCAAGGACTGCAGCCTTCAGTATGGCTTGAAGCTCACCATCAGCATCATGATAGATGGTGAAGAGATTGAGATTGTTAACAGCTTCTGTTTGCTTGCCTCCACAATCAACACTCTTGGTACCTGCAACCAGGAAATTAAAAGACAAATTTCATTGGGAAAATCTGCTACCAGAGACTTCTCCAGAGTACTGAAGAGCAATGATGTCAGTCTGAAGGCTAAGGTGCGCCTGATAAGGGCCATACTCTTTGCAATTACTTGCTGCGCATCAGAAAGCTGGACAATGACTAGGGATGATAGGAGAATTGATGCCTTTGAGCTGTGGTGTTAGAG